CGAAAGAAAATCTATGCATTTTATTTTTTATAAATCACGCAATATTTATTTCAGGTCCATTTTTAATTGGATGGTTCTCAAATTATAAAGGTCGGAAGCCATGTTTTATTTTAAGTGGAATAACAGCAATAATTGCATTTACCATTCTATCTGTGACGACGAACTTAACCATGTTGTATTTTGGGCGAGTCCTGAACAATTTTGGTACTTCAATGATAGGTGTCAATAATTTGGTTTACATGGGTGAAGTAGCGTTAGTATTGCGTATTTTAATAACAAAGCTTAAATATATGAAATCTAAATGATTTTAATTTCTTCTCAGAACAAATAATGGATTTTATTGGAAGGGCTATAAAAATTGAGATTTTTCAGAAAATACATACATATAAAACTTAAAAACTTGAAAAGCAAAACCTTATCTATCGTATAAATAATTATTGATTGTTTTTTAACTAATTTATAGCGCTGTTAATGTGAGAGGAAGTTTTTTAGCAGCTTTTGGAGTATTCACATCACTTGGTTCCATTCTAGTGTTTTCTACGGCGCCATTTTTTCCTTACTATATTTCAACCTACATCGGGCTAGCTTTATCCGTCTTATTCACTGTGACTGTTGTATTAATACCAGAATCGCCATTGTTTTATATTTTAAAAGGTAATTATTATTTCTACAATGATTTTATTACCTTTTTTTCCAATAAAGGTTTCGAAAACATTCTGTTTGTGTCACGTATTGTGAGCAAGATACTACATTAATTTTTTTGTAATAAATTTTGAATTTCATTTTTGGACAGATATCAGGTTAAAATTCAACATTTTCACAGATAATCCTACAATATTAGAAAATAGTAAACGGAATGTATATGTTAATAGATAAAGAAGATAAAGCAGTCAAAAATTTGCTAAAACTAGAAAGGATGGAAGAAAAGGATAAATTATTAGAAACAAAAAAAGAATTCACATCAACAAACGATAAAATGGATTGGATTGAACTCTTCACATTAAGAACAAATAAAAAAGCTTTATTCATAGTAATATTCATAAATACTTTGCAACAATGCAGTGGAGGATTGGCAATTTTGTTTTTTTCTAGCTCTATATTTGAAATGGCTGGGTCTTCAATAAATTCCAATATTTCGATGATTATTATTGGATTTATTCAATTATTTGGAAGTATTTTATCGCCTATTTTTATTAGTAGGACTGGAACAAGAAAGCTGTTGCTTATATCAACTGCCGTGTGTTCTGTGAGCATGGTAAGTTAATCATAGATAATTTAATCATTATATTGTATACATAGAAGAAGAGTAGAAATACACAATTGAGTCAATCAATCATAGGAAGATACAAAAGGTATGTCAAGGCGGTCCTATTTGTTTACAAGCAACTACAAAAACCTTTCTTGCTTGAAACAATTTGTACAACTGAAAATAATCCAGTATAAAAGTGTCTGAATGGACCTTTATTTGGCTTTTGCTTTTCATTTTATATATAACTTTTTTTTCTATGGCTACAATATTTAGCACATCAAGGGAAAGGACTGAAGGAAATTTGCACAATTCAAAGTAATTTGTTGTTAATTTGTTGCTGATTATTTGTCATAAAATATATTAAATACTCAAAACGATTTCTAAAAGTGATATTGTTAAATGATAAAATAGAATTGAGTTTTTCACTAAAAATTATAGGTGATTATTTCAAACTGGAGTGGTATTTTACATACTTTTATGTTACTCGACAGCTAAATCTTAAGCATGTTAAAGAATTCAGAAGTCGTCGGGTTACATAAAAGTTCTTTCAGAATTAACACTACTGATCTCAAAAATGTGATACTATTTTAAGAAATAATTAATTGATTTTAAAAACGAGTATTCATAACGTTTTACTATACGTCATTCAGAGTTTTGGTTTGAGTTGTCGTTTTAAAAATTTCGCAAGAACGTCATTATTCAAAACCAGTTAAAACACCAAAATAAATTTTATATTATTAATTAATTAATATTTCAAAACAAAATTATGTGAATTAATTTGCAAATAATTCACATAATTTTGTTTTGAAGTGAACGAATTTTCCACTGCTGACTTGGATGCTACAGTGGAGCTACAGTGTATATATGGGAATTGTTTTTAAAAATCTATCAATTAAATATTCATCTATATTATATCTAGGTACTAATCGATTATACCTGATTCTACTTTTTTCAGTTTTTAATGGGGCTGTATTTTTATCTTCAATTCTTGGAGATTCATATAATAAACCGTGTAAAATGGTTACCTTTAGTAATATTAATATTATTTTTCACCGGCTACGAATGTGGTAAGAAAAATATAATTGTGAATTTTAGCTATTTGATATTATGTAACCATATGTATATTAAACATTTATATATAGTGGCAATTAAGTTCCAGGAATTTAGTCATAACTAGGGAACTGCCAAGACTGCGTCATTCGTCAACATCTATCTAGAAAAGGAAACCCTTCCTTTAGTTTCAGTCCAAGGCTGAAATCGATAGCACATTTGGTTATTTTTTATATGTGTATTTTTGAAAGAAACTTTTGTAGTGGCGTCGTGAAAATAATGACCTCGTTTGTGGGGAGATGCATTTAGGCATACCACCTGCATACATACAGGTGGTTATGTGGGACTCGCCGGCAAAGCTACCCACTAAAACCCAACATAACCTCCCCCGTTTAATGGGACGTCGCAGGATCGCTTACGCATTCAACCCGCATGGCATACCGGCCACCCTTGATATATTGGAAACATATATAAACCATTAATTTCATTATTTTCTGATTTCAGGATTTGGTATTTTGCCGATGACTTTGATTGGAGAAATGTTTACTATAAATGTAAGGAGTAAAGGTTCTGCTGTGGTTCTGTGCATTTCGTGGATGTTTGGGTTTCTGTTGACCACTGCTTTTGGGTATGGTGTAAAGTCCCTTGGAGCATATGTAGTGTTTTGGTTTTTTTCTTTTTCATGCGCTTGCGCAACTGTATTTACAATGTTTTGTATACCAGAGACAAAAGGAAAATCTTTATTAGAAATTCAACATATTTTGGGTAAAAATGATAATCTATAATATTCATTTTATATAAAAAAGAAAATTAAGACTCAATTGTAAGATGTTCTCTAGAACTAATATTCTTGATATTGTGCATCGACGAATATGTAAAAAAAATTAATGCCTGTCGTCTTTATATAGAAAATAAATATAAGGTTACCTACGAGTATTGTCGTAGCATAAACAAAAAATGCATACAGTTAGTCGATACCTATAAAAATTCAAGGCTCAGCTTTGGGTCCACAAAATCTTAACAGTACAAGGCAAGAATTATCATATATTATAAGAATAAATATTGCATTCTTATATTTTTTAAGTGTCTCATACTTTATGCACCTTTATGTTGTTTACATATTATGTATGTACGTAGATTCGAATTCTGTATTCTCTGAATAAGTTACCTTTTTCTGTATATATAGTATGTAAGATTAAGTACATATGTATATAACTAGCGACTCACCCTCGCTCCGCTCGAGTTCGTCCCTACTTATGTTTTAACGTTTAGTATAGATTTCTCAGAGATGAGATATTTTCCTGCAGTAAAAAGGATCCTATATATTGACCCAGACAACCAGCTATCATCATACCTTTCATCGAAATCTATCCAGCGCATATAGACAATATACATGTAATGGACAGATTCGACTCAGAATTTTATTAAATGTATAGATTAAGAATTTGTTAAAAAATTGTATCCAATAAAATGTTAAAAATAAATAAATAATTAAATGAAGAATGTTATTAAAAATAAACCAAAAGTTTTAATTTTTTAAAGATATATATAGCACAACAATTAAAAAAAATATAGAAATATTATTTAAATACCAGTCGGCCTTCCCTCACTTAGCTCTTTATAATATTAATTTAGATACGAGTATGTACGAGTATCTTTTATTTATTTTTATGATATGGTTAATGGTTGTAATGTCAAGCTTTGGCAAGAAAAAAATTCTTTTTAACTTATTGTTATGATATACCGGTTAATATATACTAAGTATTAGGGCGAGGAACTCAACCGTAACGAATTCTCCACTCAAATGTTGTTGATTCGAATATTCTATTTACTCGTCTGAAATTTTTGCAAGCCATTGATAAACCAGTACAGTGTCTAGTGTAGTCGTGTCCAAGTTGTGAAGTAGGAAAACGTGATCGTATTACAACCATTTATTAAGTTTTTTTGGAATATTTTAGTACTAAATTACTAAAAGATAAACGTACTAAATTGCTTAAAATTAAGCTCCATTTTTTAACGCTGCCTATACTAATATTATAAATGTGAAAGTTTGTGAGTATGGACGTTTGTTATTCTTTCACGCAAGAACGGCTGAACGGATCTGGATGAAATTTGGCACAGAGATAGATTATAGTTACTTCTTATCCCAGAAAAATATACGGTTCCCGAGCGATAGATGTATTTTTGCTTTTCCAGAGGCGAACCCGAGCGAAGCGATGGTGAGCCGCTAGTAATATACAAATATGTCTGATAAAGTACTCTGGTGGGTGCGAATGGAAGTGTGAAGCATTTCGAACCCACCTGAGAACTAATTTGCTTCTTCTTAAACCGCATCTTGGATATTTGTTATAAGTGACATAAAAAGAAAGAAAATTCGTGTAATGAATTAAAGCAACGTGGTAATTTGATATCAACGAATGATGATGCCAGAAAGGAAATAGAAAAACTCTTAAATAGGTTTAAGCTTATTTGATTACCTAATTACCTAATTTGACAACCTCCTCCTTTTTGGAAGTCGGTGAATAAAATATTAGATTTTTTGAAATGAAAGTCAGATTAGGTCAGATGTAAATTTATTTTTGTGATAATTTTCTAGGACTATACGTTCATACGATTGCGATGAGATTGTGCTGAGTCTGTATGGCCACGTTCGTAAGAGCTTAGTACTGAAATACCATCAGCATAAATAATATTATTGTTAATATAATGATTTATATGGAATCGACTGCTTCGGTGGTGTAGTGGCTAGCATGTACGGCTGCACACCCGGAGGTCCTGGGTTCGAGTCCCGGATCGGGCCAAGTTTAGGTATTGAGTCTTTCTGCATAGTAAGCCTCAGTAACAGCCCGGAGTTTGGAAGTTGGCTGTTTTTCAACCCCGTGCCTTGGAGAGCATGTAAAGTCGTCGGTCCTGCAAGGCGCAGGACAGGACAAACTCTAACCTTTACATTCAACAACTTTATATTACAATAATATTATTATTATTAATTTATATCTATCATCTGGACTATATTCAAAGGTACAAATCGTATATTTATGTTACTTTCCTTCTTCTTCACTTGGTTTTCCAAGCGAGTGTGTTACCACAGGGCTACCAACTCCACCTCATTACGCATTACATACATACCACCTGTAGACATACCATCTGTATGTCTACAGGTGGTATGTCTATATGTGGTATGTGTAAACGCATTTCCCAACATAAATAAAAACTACCAACGCCGGATAGTCTAAGTAAATATTAACTGGCTGGCTGGCGACTATATGATGGCATTTTTATCTTGCCTACGAAACTTGTGTTGGTTTCTAAAGTTGAATTCATGACTTTATAATTCTCGTGATTCAATGACGAATTAATATTTCTCCTATTATTAATAATATACATATTTTCTTGGCTATAATATACATATGTTCTACGCTTTCTAATGTACTTTGTTATAGTCTTCGACCATTTAAATTATTCTACTGTGTATCTGATTATATAATACACTTATTAAAAAATGGCTTACATAACTGGCTTAAGGAGGCAACTTTTTATATCGGCAACATGTACGTACATCATATTCGTTTTTTTTTAATTTATTTTAATGTTATTAAAACCACTAATACTCTTAAAATTGTTATTAGGTTTAACTATATTAGTAATGAAGTGAAAAATATAGAATTCAAAATGAAATTTTTCAGGCTTAACATGGCATTGTAATACTATTATATCGGCCAATATCCTATACAAAATCTTAATTTTCGTTATACATATATAAGATGTTATTATTATTGTTTTGTGTTAAACTTAACTATCTGCCTTGAAATATAAATTTTTTTATTTTTTATAATCGTATAAGCCACACAATTTTTTATAACATTGTTAAAATAATTTGTTAAATATATAAAATATTTTAATTTTAAACATTATATATTATTGTTTCAGTGTATTTAGGGCAGATGGTGATTGGATATTCATTAAGCTGGTCAGGACCCATCATACCGAAACTACAGAATTTGGAAGACTCACCTCTTCCATATTTGTTAACTGAAACACAAATATCTTTAGTAGGATCTTTGGCATTTGCTGGATCTATACCAGGTACTTCATTACTTGTCTGAAAACACGTTTGAATGTCGAGAGTTACATATGTGTAAGCTCTTTAAATAAATATCGTTTTTTTTTTGTTTTAGGTCCGTTTCTAATTGCATGGCTTTCAAATTACAAGGGCCGGAAGCCATGTTTTATTTTAAGTGGAATAACAGCTATTATTGCATATACCATTCTATCTACGTCGAAGAATTTGACTATGTTATATTGTGGACGAGTGCTGAACACTTTTGCCACAGCAATGATAGCTGTTAATAATTTAGTTTACATGGGTGAAGTAGCGTTAGTATTGCGTATGCTTTAAATAAATCTTTTAGGTCAAGTCTAGAAACACGACATACAATATTTACTGAGAATTTGGTATATTCAATGGAACTAAACATGCATTTAATTTTTGGCATTCTTTTAACTCTTTCAACACATAAGATATGTATATATTAATGTAAAATGATTATTTTATAACTAATTTATAGGTCTGTTGCTGTGAGAGGAAGTTTCTTAGCAGCATTTGGAGTATTTACATCACTGGGTTCAATTTTAGTGTTTTCTACTGCGCCATTTTTTCCTTACTACATTTCAACTTACATCGGCCTAGCTCTATCGGTTTTATTCACTATGACTGTGATATCAATACCAGAATCACCATTATTTTATATTTTAAAAGGTAACTGGTTTTCTAGATTAATTTTATTATTAATATTATATCCGTATTAATATTATAAATGTGAAAGTTTGTGAGTTTGGATCTTTGTTACTCTTTTACGCTAGAACGGCTAAACTGGATCTTCTTTGGATCTCATCTGGATGAAATTTGGCACAGAGATAGATTATAGTCTGGAATATAACACAAAGGATACTTTTTGTCTATATTAGGATCCCAGAAAACGTTCAGAATTAAAAACCTTGTAATGATAAATTCAATAAAAAAAACGTTACAAAACGTATAGAATAATCTACAGTCACCATCGGTTTTTTTAATGATTAATAATAAGCCAAAACTTTGTGAGTAGCGTCATTTTGGCGAGATGTCCAACTATTCTTTCTACGTGAATTTGATAATGGTAGACACAATTGTGGCTTCATACGGAACATGTCGAAACGGTGATAGTCTAAAATTTATTACTAATAGATAGTTTTTCGATTTAATTTTGACATAATCCAACATTAAACAAGAAAAAATGTTGTCCTACAAAACATGTATGGTTATGATCAAATAGGCCCCAATCAAGTCCCCAAAATGGAGCTACTCACAAAGTTTTAACTTGTTATTAATCATTAAAAAAATCGTTGGGGACTGTAAACTATGACTAAAGGTATACAATAAATGATTTTATACATAGAAGTTCAGAAACTGATGATGTGATTGCCTCCAGGTTATTTTAGTGTTCGAGAATTACTGCTATTTAAAATTTTATTTAACAAAACTATAAAGGAAATGATTATAGTACCGCTAAGTTTTCTTTGCTTCTTCTCACTACTGAGACTTTTTGGGAAAAATATTCGAAATAACGTTCAGTAAAGAAATTTTAATAATTTTATGCTGATCAAAAAAACACTATGAGGAGGATACTAGATTATTTTTTTACATAGTACCTATGTGATGAAATTATTAAAAAATTTAATTTTGGATTAATATCGGATTATACTTTAGCACTTTTAAAGATAATTCAAAAAATTAGAAAATAATGTTTAAAATAATTTATATACTAAAAGTTATTTACATATTCTTAGATAAAGAAAATAAAGCACTCAAAAATTTACTTAAACTAGACAGGATGGAAGAAAAAGATAAATTATTGGAAACAAAAAACGAATTCACGTCAACGAATGATAAAATGGATTGGATTGAACTTTTCACATTAAGAACAAATAGAAAAGCTTTATTAATAGTAATTATTATAAATGTCTTGCAAGAATTAAGCGGAGCAATGGCAATTTTGTTTTTTTCTGGATCTATATTTGAAATGTCTGGGTCTTCAGTACATTCGAATATTGCGATGATTATTATTGGATTTATTCAATTATTTGGAAGTATCTTATCGCCTGTTTTGATTAGTAAAACTGGAACAAAAAAACTATTACTTATATCAACTGCCATGTGTTCTGTGACTATGGTAAGTTAGTCATTGATAATAATAATTTAACAATATTTAACAATATTTAACTATGTTTGTAATGCGGTTGTATTGTCTAAAACATATGAAGATAGATAAAATCTTATTATTATTATTATAGATACACACATGTTTTGAACATTCTGCTTCAATTTAATATTTAATACCTATCAGATATTCATGTACGAGTATATATGTATATGATAAATTAAATTTACGTCAATTCTCCAGTGCTCTTTAATTTTTTAATTATAAATAATAGATAATTTTTTTTCTGTGGCTTTAGTGTTTATAGGCTTTGCTTATTTATAAATTTTTAGAAATTTAAAAATTACATACACAGTTACACTTAATATTTTAATCTGAAAGATTGTACTTTTTTCAGTTTTCTATGGGGTTATATTTTTATCTTCAATTCTTGGAGATTTATATAATAAACCGAGTAAAATGGCTACCCTTAGTAATATTAATATTATTTTATATTGGATATGAATGCGGTAAGAAAAAAACTAAACGTAGTTTTAGCTTTTTCTTGTGATTTAACCACTAATTTCATTATTTTGTTATTTCAGGATTTGGTATTTTGCCGATGACTTTGATCGGAGAAATATTTACATTAAATGTAAGGAGCAAAGGTTCTGCTGTTGTTCTGGGCATTTCGTGGATGTTTGGGTTTTTGCTGACCACTGCTTTTGGGTATTGTGTCAAGTCCCTTGGAGCATATGTAGTGTTTTGGTTTTTTTCTTTTTCATGCGCTTGCGCAACTGTATTTACATTGTTTTATATACCAGAGACAAAAGGAAAATCTCTATTGGAAATTCAACATTTTTTAGGAAAAAAATCATAACCTATAATATTGTACAATAATAACGTATTAACTATTGCCGTATAGATACGGTAAGTCAATCTTTTTGGTAATTGAAGGCTTAGCATATGAGTTATGTAACACAACATCTAGACAGTCATTTTCATGCAGACAGGTAATTGTTACAAATCAGTAACGTAATAATGTAAATATAACATTGTAGTAATATATTTTAAGACAGTTTGTAATTCTGTATTTTCTGTTAAAGCTCCTTTAGCAAATCTACTAAATAAATCGTATATTACTTTAATATTATTTAAATAGATTTATTCTTATTTCCTAAGTACGAAGCCACTATCAACCACCAAAACAAATAAGCCACATTTTTTATTATGTGCGTGTATATTGGTATTTATGGTACATAATAAAAATGTTATAAATAAATTTAATAATATAAAATTAAATTCAAATTCAAAATATTTTATTCAGCATTAAATTATTACAATTTTTTACTGAAAGTCATGAGATCAGTCTACTACCAGTTCGGAAAGAAGAAGCCACAGAACTGACAATAACTGGCGAGAACTGAAGAAAAGAAGAGAAATAAAGTACAGCTTTAGTATTTTTAATTCTGGTCCGGATTCCGTGAGTTGAGGGATAAGGTGCCTAAAAATTATGGCAGTAACTTTAATTATGCAAGTAATCGATAGTGAAGAGTAAGAATTAAATATCAAAATATATTATTTTAATTTTATAGTCCACCACGTTGGTTAAGTGCGGGTTGGCGGAATTCACAGATCTTTCAAAAACTTGCTAGGTTCATTCAGACATGCAGGTTTTCTCACAATGTTTTCTTTCACCGTAAGACAAGTGGTAATCTTGTTGAAAACGATTCATAGATGTGAAATTTAGAGGCGCGAGCCCGGGATTTGAACCCGTTTTACTCGGTTTCACAAGCGAGCGCGTTACCACTGGGCTAATACTACCGCCAAAACTGTTGGAAATGACTTATAATATGTATATTGTATACATTTTCTATGCCATTCAATTCGCCGATACAGTTTTTTAACTTTCCATTCGACGATTATAAGATGATATCTAGTTTAAGCTTCCTTATAAATTCAGTTCTTTGTGGGATGACAATCCGATATGACAGTGGAAAGACAATGGTCAGAACAATTTTATGGGAATAAAGAAAAATATTTTAGAGAATGCATAGGCAGAAAGTCTGAGTTACTTCTTCGAACATACCCAACACTTGAGCCCAGGACTATTTGATATGTAGCAGTTCATGTTGGACACTAGACCAAAAAAGCAGTCACTCCGAGTTTTCAGTATCTATGACAGGAAGAACAGGAATTTAATATCATAAAGGGTTTCCAATTTACCGTTTCGTGTAATACTCGATCTATATTCTATTATTTATAAAAGTTTACTTTCATGCACAGTTGTTTTAAATTCATTAATAAATAGTAAAATGTTATTTTATTACATGGCGGCTAGTTTTAGTTATAAGAGGAGGCAATTTGACCATAACTAAATTGCTATTCAAATAGTATTGAGCCGAATAATCCATTTACTAGGGTGAAATTTTTGCAAAGCGTTACTGATAAGCCAGTGCAATGTCAAACGCAGTTTGGCCAAAGTTGTGGGATCTTAGGAAAACGTGATCTAAGTCAGACTATTTATTACATATTTAAGACTATATATTCTACAAAGGATCAAAACTGGTCAAAGTAATAAGAGTCGATCTCTGCATCACATCCGATTCCTAAATAATAATATTATTTATTAAGATAGGAACTCACACGTCTTTCGACAACTACTTAGATTCTTTTGAACATTTAGATTTCCTCATGATAAAATAAGTTGTGCAGTTTGTCGTTTTTTCTTATTTTTATATTTTTTCGTAATAATGTCCGGATGAAATTCTGTGTGGCCAATAGAGAAAAAATCGTTCATTGGCAGTCGAACTTGGTGAATAATAAAAATAAATATCATTGCGATATGACTAAAAAATCGTTACCTTAATAAAATAAAATGTCTATAATATAAAAACAGTGTAAATCTGCATCGAAATCATAAAATATACCTACATATACATAAGTGGACGTGAGTGATTGTTATCAAATATTCTCTTATATAAAATTCTACGCAACATTGGCGAAGCAAATTGTATCCAACTGACAATCCTAGAAGCCATAAAATAAAAGAATTGAATTCCTATATAAATATGTTTATAAAACTATCTGGACTTCAAAGACAGATTTTAGCATCACTATGTTGTAAGTATTTTAGTCGTTTATTTTACCTATTATAGTCGTATTTTAGTCGACTTCATCTAACTTATGGTAGACGCCGTCTGTAATTATAACTATATACATAATAATTTTTGAACGATGCTGTAAAGAATTCGAAATATCGGAAATCAGAAATCAAAAATAAATGCGAAGAAATACCTATGAAAATATTTCAACTGTGAATTGAAGTATTATTTAAAATAGTATTGTATAATTAATATTTGCATTTGACCAGCGTGGTGGACTATGGCCTGATTCCCTCGTATGAAGGGAGGCCCATGCCTAACAGTGGGGCATTAAATAGAGCTGAATACATGAAAAATGACAATTCAAATCTGGTTTCGTAATTGAGATTCATAAGTTCTTATTATGTAAACCAAGTTACGTTTTGTTATTAATAAAACGTTATTACTTGTGACACAATGTGATCATTGTGTCATCAATATGAATTTTGCTATTAGATGGTTGGGTAATTTGATAGTCAATGTGAAAGCATGATGCGGGGATACCTACCTATTTTGTATTTTACATGTAGTCAAAGCTTTAGTGGTAAAGTCAGATCAACTTTAAAAAGACGTAACTTCTTATTATTGACATGTGCCTCAAGTTTTAATCGCACTAATGGTAGATAGCAGATATACAGAGACAGTGAAGTCGACTGAGCTTGAATTTTGATAATAATAGGTCTTTATAATTAATTAACCCTACAAGGCTCAATTTTTTTTCTGTGGCTGATAAAATTATATGTGATGTAGTTAGTGATTAGTACTTAGGAAAAAATAATAAAAAAAATCTAAACCAAATATTTTATTAGAAAATCAGTTTTTTATTTTAGTTCCATATGTGGTACACTGAGCCTTAACTATTCTTTTTTAGCATTTTAATTATTTCGAAGTAAGACTTCACACAACGAAAAACACATCACAAAATAATTATATTTTTTTATAAAAATATCTATTGTTGAAGATTTCGAAATCAATTATTATAGCGTTGCTTTTTTTACCCTAAACAGGAAAATGCTCATACCTGTCACGTCTGACTTCATGAGGAGGAAGAACTGCCGTATTCGGCTTCTTTTTCTTTATTTCAATTTGATCAGGAAAACTTGACGGTTTGTCTCTTTTCTTGTTCATTAATGGCCCACATAAACACAGACTTTTCTTACGTCAAATTTGAAGTCCCTCAGCTTCAGTTGGGTTGGTTTCAATATAGGCTTGAGTTTATGTAAGCGATCAATGATCATGTCCTGACGTTGAAATGCAGGAATTGGTAGATTTTTTTTAAAATGATTTAGCAACATTGTCTCCATAATCAGAGGAATACCCAATTCGAATGGCCAATAAATTCAGATATTCGGCAATAGCGACAAGCTCATAATCAGACACCTAAATTTTTTTTCAATTCAACAACTGTAATTTTTAATGGTTTTGAAGATTTTTTTTAATACTACTTCTTCTACAATATGCACCAGTAGTTCTTTATCAAAAAATCAAAAAAGAAACCAGAAAAATTTTGAAAGGGAATCTCAAATTCTATAATTGGTGTCTGTAAGTTTATATTTCCAGTAAACTGAGAATGTGTTGATTGAAAAGATTTATTTTTCAAATGAAGTTCCCTTTCTTCCTTTTGATGCCAGACTTTCTAGTTCAGAGTTTTTAGTTTACTGGGTTCCTAGGATTCTAGTTATGTTAGCAAAGGCAATCCTCACAGAAGCAGAACTCAAGATGATCATCTCGCTCTCGCTGAAGTCGCACCTGAAATACTGGGCTGAGGGTTTGATATTTGCTGCTCACTCGTTAAGTGAATATCTTCGTTAACGGATGACAATTAATGATGTATCTGTGTTGATGATGATGTTACCACATCAGTATGGGATTCAGAGAAAAAATTGATAGCACACTGAATTTTTCAATGTCTTCATTACTTTCAGCTTTAGAGAAGTCTTCGCCATCTTCTCTCCCAGAGGCAATATATATAGCCAAGAAATGATTAATATCTCCAGAACACAATAGTTTTCTCGACATAATCTATAATAAATAAAAGTATTCATAAGTACACTTATCGTAAATACGTATTTGAAAAAGGAAGGCTAAGGCTCAATGTACCGTATGTGGAACACGGAAAAAATTATGATAAATATTATTGATACTACAATAATAGAAAAAATAATTTACCTCTGCAAAATTGACACTTATTTACAATACGCGATATTTTTTTCTGGGTCAAAACCCTACAGTATATTTTTTAATAAATTTTTGAATTTACGCAAACGACAAACGCACAACTTCGGTTCAAATTTCGCAATTTAATGACAGTAATAAGATCTTAAGAATGTAGCTATTAGTATTTTATAGATTTGTAGGAACAATAAAAGTGGTTGTCCCGCATATGTCACTGAGTGCCTTGTAGGGTTAAAATTATTTTTTAAATATATTGGGACATTAACACACAGTTCCATCTAGTTCCATTGTAAGCTACGAGGGTTGTGCTATGGATACCAGATAGTTCATACATTACACATATACAACTTTTAAATACACACATATTGTAAATATAAACACCCATGACTGGAGTACAAAAATTAGTGCTCGTCACACAAATGAATACCCTAAGCAGGACCTGAACCCGCGACCGCTGACACAATAAAAATACGAGTAATTATGAAATACGAGTTTCATCGCAATAACAATGCCGCACAAACGGCTCGCAACATTAAGGACGTATACGGAGTGAACACTACAAACGAATGCACGACTTGTTAATGGTTTGAACGCCACCGCATGGATTTTGATCTAAAAAATGAAACCTGTAGTCGCCCGAAAGCTAAAATAACAATGACGAATTTTAGGCGATAGTGGAAGCTGACGATACTCAATCTACGGCTGAGTTAGCAGCAGCTTTCAACATTAGCATCAAAATTACTAGTCCATTTGCATCAAATTGGCAAGGTAAAAAAAAAAAACTTGATAAGTGGGTGCCGCACGAGCTGAACGATCGCTAGCTTGATGAACGCGTTGAGGTATGCCTTGGGTTAGGGGAATGCCACCCGCTTAGGGCTGGGTTGCTTAACAGACACAGAAACGAAGGCATTTTAAACCGCATTGTCAGACCCTGACATTTTGTTAGACCCTGGTTCAGCACCTAGGAAATGCTCCAAACGAAAACCGTATAATTCATCACAACTATATATATATATAGTACCGGTATAATTCATCACAACTTCTTACCAAATGGCACCAGCATTCATTTAGTCATTTAAAACAGTTAGTACACATATAACAAAAACAACGATAATAACTACATTAGTATAAAACTGCATTACTGCGGATGTGTACTGTGAGGAACTGGACACACACAATGCCTTTGAAGAGTTTGTTGGCTCCCGTACATCTGGCTTCTTCAAAAAGGACATTGAAAAATTACCACTGCGTTGACAGAGATGCATCGATAGCATGGGTGGTATTTCGATTGATAGAGATAGAAAATAATTATAAAGAAATGACTTTAACTCTCTGTATATTAAACGGCATTTTCATAGGTAAAGACCAACATTATACAGCATTATAGGTTTCTAGGTTCAAAATAAAAAAAAAACCTAACATGGCAAAGGCATGGCTAGACTTGTCATCTATTTTACTAGAATCAAATCTGTCACTGAGCTTGAATTTACCATAAGACAATATGGACAGTAAGGAATACCTGGTGAAAATTGGCTTGGGTGAAAGTATAACATTGGTTACATAATATTCAAAGTTTTTTGAAAATATTATTAAAAAAAAGCAATCTTGTGTAGATTGACACAAGATTTCTTTATTTTAAATAATATTTTCAAAAAACTTTGAATATTATGTATACATAGTAGGCTGCTGCGGCATTGCGTAGCTATTACAGTATAAAAATTGGGTTAGACGTTGGACATAGACCTAAGACCTAATAGTGGCACAGGGCAATCCTCAAAGACGGTTGATTCAATCTTGAACAAAGTGATTGATTAAAGACGTTATGCCAATGACGCATCGAATGAAATATATCGGAATATAAATAAATACAAATAAAATGGATGTGTTAATTATATTATAGTATCTAGATTACACACATAATATTTAACTGCGTGATTCAGGAAATTGTATTAAGCAAATATTACTCAAACTGTTTTTTAAATTATATTACCTCATATTTTTAGTTCTAATATTTTCGTTCTCTTAAATCAATTTTATGTATATACTAAAAATACATAAAATGAAAATCAATGACGTTCTTAATATTTATATTTACATACATAGATATTATAGTTATACTATTTACAAAAATATAAATATACTATTGTGATAAATTTGTTTAATTCAAATTTTCAGGTTACATGGGGCAGTTGGTAATTGGATTTACTCTAGCTTGGACGGGGCCTATAATTCCAAAACTTCAGCATCCGATAGAGACGCCGTTATCAGTTCAGCTATCAAACACACAGTTATCATTAGTTGCATCAATTATCTATATAGGAGCGATGCCAGGTGAGGGATTTAATGTAATTTTGATATCTCTTTAATTTTAATTATGATGTATTTCTTTTTGTATGAAAAAGTTATCATTTACATTTTTTACCCGACTGCTACCGAAGCGCAACTATGTTATAAACCTGTTTTTTATTTATTTATTCGGCATCAAAGGTTTTCCCGATCTCTTTAGAACAGATTTAAAGAACCCAACATCATTTTGATTATTGATAAAGATAATTTTGATTATGCGTATTATATTTGATCTTTATTAAAACATTCGACTGTAATTAGTAATCATAAAAAAAATCGACGTAGCAAGTCAATTGTTGTTCAGATTTTCTGTTTTTAAATTGTACGACATTAACCAACACTAAACTTCACATTTTGCATCTATAACTTGAACTATGCAAGGAATACAGTTTTTAGTAATATATTAGTTTCTATTATACTCTAACGTATTTAATGTATATTTCTGATTAAATTTAACCTCTTAATATTTTGTTGTTTTATATTGCAGGTCCATACATAACGGGATGGTTATCAAACGTTAAAGGAAGAAAGCCCTGCATAATAATTGCAGGAGTTGTATTAACAATATCGTACCTTATATTAGCAATTTCAAATAATCTTGCAATGATATACTGTGGCAGATTATTAACTGGTTTTGGGATAGGATGTGTGTGTGTAATGAACTTGGTGTACATAGGAGAAATTGCGTTAGCATTTTTGTAATGTATATCCATTTATTATTTTTAAGTATGATTCGCAAATTCCAACAATCACACTTCCACCATATCGTATGAAGCTAATATTTGTAGTAATTTTACTAGCACATGACGCAGTATGCGATGCAATTCGTGGTATTAAAAATACTCTTGATAAAAAGACTAATAAAATGTTGATATATTAATGAGATAGCTCTTAACGTAAAGTTTTTTAACTATCGATTTATTTGTTATCCCATTCTTATCCAAAACCATAGCAAATATTGTATAATGTAAGGAGATAGAAAAATAAGGTAAAACAGTATATATAAATTATATAAAAACATTTAAAACTGTTATTTTTTACAGATCAACAAACATCAGAGGCATACTTTTAACAATCATCGGTATATTTCATACGGCCGGATCAATCGTGGTATATGCCAGTGGACTGTTCCTTTCTTATGTAGGTGTTTAACATACTAAAAAGTTAAAAAGTATAAACGAAACATATTTATAAGTACTAGCAAATAGCACCAGTGGTCCAATAAATACACAAACAGATAGACAAGTACAAAGAAAGAAGGAAGTTGCATTTCATAATATATTTCGCTTTATTACTATTTTACGAGTATCATAACATGTATGTTATAATATTAATGCAATGCTTGTATGAATTTATTTCGTGTATCTCAGAAAAGGCTCTAACGATTGGGATCAAATTTTGTATTTAAATAAGGTTTTGCTTTTTAAGTAACTATATAGGTATCTTCTTTTAAAAAAAAAACGTAATTTTTATATCTTTTCCGAAGAACCCTTTTTCGATCGACGCTTGGTCATCCAAGTATTAAGAAATTAAGTAAGCAATTACTATCATATTAATATTTTATTTTACTTGCAGTTAACTATGGGTTTCTATTTCTTTTTTGATTATAAGCAATATTATGTGGTTAACAACATTAGATGGCTACCAATTGTTATACTTATTGTATTTTTCTTTGTCTATGATTTAGGTAAGTTTTCAGAAATTTTGACATTCTCCATTTTCTACAAAATTAACAAATATAGGTACAAAACTGTAAAGTTCGTTCGTTGCACGTTCACGTTGCGACATAAAAACGTTTTAAAGACGTTGAATCACTTGTCCAAATAAAACTTTGGCTAAAATTAATATTACATCACTACATTTCGTTGATTATTTTTTATAAGAATACGTAATAACGTTTAGCGTAGATTTCTCAGAGATGAGATATTTTCTCGCAGTAAACATATTCTATATGTTGACCCAAATACTCAAATAATCAGCTATCATCATCCTAAATTCCAATTCCAATTCCGTCATACGTTTTCAGACAGACAGACTGATAGATAGATAGACACAAAAATTCTAAAAACTATTGATTCGGCCTCTGTATCGATAATAATGACTATTACAATAAGATTTTCCAATAAAATATTTAATGAAAATTGAACTCAAAATTTTATTATATGTACTAGCATTGCCCGCGGCTCCGTCCGCGTTCAGATGACCAAAAACCAAATTCTTACCGTTTTACATATTAGAATACTCTTACATTGCAGTTTTGTATTTTTTCTCAGAAATGAGATATTTTCCCGCGGTAAAAAATATCCTATATGTTGACCCAATAACCAGCTGTCACCATACCAAATTTCATCAAAATCCCTTCTGTGGTTTTTCCGTGATGCGGTAACAGACAGACAGACATACAATCAAAAATTCTAAAAACTATAGATTCGGCCTCTGTATCGATAATAATGTCTATTTCAATAAGATTTTCCAAAAATATATTTAATGTACAGATTCGGCTTAGTTAGAATTTTATTATATGTATAGATAGATGAAATTTCAGTTAAAATAAGAAGTCTGATAATATGTAATGCTTGTTTATTTTAGGTTTAGGCATCATTCCGAGCGCTTTGATTGGAGAAATGTTCAAAACAAATGTAAGGAGTAAAGGTTCCGCAGTGGCTATAACAAGTTCTTGGGTATTTGGCTTTTTGGTCACCACCGCGTTTGGATCACTGATAGATATTGTTGGTGCTCATGTACTGTTTTGGTTTTTCTCATGTTCTTCGGCATTGGCATTTATATTTACACAGATATACATACCAGAGACTAAAGGGAAAAGTTTATTGGAGATACAAACGTTTAAAAAATAGAAAATAAATTAATAAATATTATGTAGTAATATATAAAACTGAAGAGTTTCTTTTTATGTTTAAATGCGCTCTCAATTACACAAACAACCAATAGTAATTGTACTTTACATTCGATAATTTTTCCTCTATTTTAGATGTACAAAGTATCGTACATAGTGGCTTCTAATTTAATATAGGCACAATTTGCACGTTCTACATATCTACTATTAAGACTTGGCCGTTTCGCTACCGTCACATGGGCGTAAGGACGTTTATTCACTGTTCATAACTTTTCTGTTATACAAGATTTCTTGTAGTAACGATATAGCCAAACCACATATTTTGACTAAGGGGCAGAGCTTATGAAGTTAGGGCTTTTAGAGTTAGAAGCTTAGCTCTACATGAGATCTGATAACTTTTGGACAATGTGAGCCATAAGGTACGATTATCTTGGCATTATTTCACATGAAAATGTTTTTTTGTGGGATTTCATTTTTCTTTATAATTTGCTTATGGCAATATATTTTTTGTTTTGTTCATTTTTTCTTTCTTTTTTGGGGTGTATTTCTTTAGCTACTACGCGGTAACAAGGGAGTAGGAGGCGTTCACTGTGTATTTGCTTCATCATCAATCACAGCGGGTACACATGAGGCGTTTTGCGCGTGCTTAATTCCATACCCTAATTTAAATAGTGGGGGATGATTTACTAAAAATCCTGAAATACGTATTTCATTATTTATAACAAGGAATCCCTATATCAATTTTAAGACCTCTAGCGTCAAAATTTGCGGAAGTCTCATACAAATTTCTATCCCCTAGTTAAGGGGTTTGGCGGTAAAAGTTCCAAGTTTTAGATTTTTTGTTGTTTATGTACTAGTACTAGCGCTGCTACATACGAAATTTAGTTGTCTAAGACTTCACAAAGTACGAAAGTAGTTTTGATGATCATCAGTGAGTCAGTAACGAAATTGGAGATTTTTATATGAAAATAAAATCATAAATATAAAAGCTATGCATTTGAAACTTTTTAAATTTAATAAGTCTACTATTGAAATTATACCCTGAGAATTTTGTTTATCTGGTATTCAAACCGAAGTTATGAGGGTTCAAAAAACGACGAAGCGTTTCGAGAAAAGGTAGGTAGTGCACTTGCGCTTCGCTTTGCTCGTCTTGGCGGGTGCTCTACTGTGCCCCCAGATAATATAATGACAATGTAGTGGCAATGTAATCATAAAATATATCTACATATTAATAAAAAAAATATGATTTCAGAATGACATAAGTGCGCAATGTACCAGTAAAGTGGACGTGTGTGATTATTAATGAATATTTTCTTATATAAATATGTTTATAAAAATATCTGGACTTCAACGACAAATTTTAGCATCATTATGTTGTAAGTATTTTAATCGATTAGTCGATTTATTTCTTCTATTTTTAGTCGATTATAATTACTAGTAGTTTTTATAATTCTTTTTTAATCGTGACTTTCTACGGTTTATTTTTTTTTGGGTAGACGCCGTCAGTAGTAATAAGTATATACGTAAGAAAGCTTAAAATGATTCTATAAATAATTCGAAACATCGGAAACCAGAAATCAAAAAAAATATGAAAAAATATGAATAAATTTAAACTGTGAATTGAAGCATAAATCGAATCTCGTCATATACTGAAGAACTTTTGACCATTGTTTATTAAAGAATTTTGCATTCACAAACACAAACACATCCACACACATACACATACACACACACACACACACACGCACACACATACACACACACACACACACACACACACACACAAATCATCATCATCTTATAGTTTTTTAGTTTTTATAATATTTTATATAATAATATATAAAATAAATATTTTATATAAACTATTGTTTAAATATTGCACGGAGGCGGCCTTGATATCTGCAACGCAGTTTATACTTTTGCAGTATCATCGTAGCCATTGTTGTTTACTGTATACTTACAAGAATTTGATACTAAATAAATAAATTTCATTTCATTTCAAGCATTATTTAAAATAGTATTGTATAATTAATATTTGCACTTTTATAAAATTATGCATTATTCTTCACATAGTTAAGAAGTTGACGTACATAATATTGTCTATTACTAATATTTAAAGATGTCTAATTTGTCATCTTGCTAATATTATAAATGTGAAAGTATAGATGTTTAGATGTTTGTTACTCAATCACGCCAGAACGGCTGAACGGATCTGAATGAAATTTGGCACAGAGATAGAATTTCGCATTTATAATATTAATGTTTAAAATATTAATTATCTTTTTAACATGGTTTTGTTAGTTAATTCCAATTTATTATAGATCAAGTAATATAATCACATAATAACAGTAGTGAGTTAGTACATTTTCAGGGTTCCGTATATAAAAGGCAAATATGGAAACCTTACAACTTTAAATAAAACTACCTTTCGGATTTTTTCGTGGCTTTATTTTTGGTTCCCGACATTTCGATTGCTTTACAGCAATCATTATAATTTTATTATGGCCGTATGTCTGTACGTGACAGTTATTTTACTCGGAGAGTATTGAAGTCATATTGCTGAGATTTGGTAGGCCGGTGTTTTATGTGAATCTTCTAGTAAAATTGCGAAAACACAAAAATACAAAGAGTGAGGTTGGCAATTCATATGTGTAACAGAGTGGTAAAAAAGTTACTACGTCAGATTCGCACTTGTACAAACAAGTGTATAAAGAATATTATTTATCCTGCTCAATAGAAAAAGTAATTAAAAATGGTTTTATATTTTCACGCATCCACTGACTGAACAGGTATTGATGATTTTTTGTTTGGCAAACGGGAGTATAAACGTGTGAGAACCATATAATTCTAGGCGACATTGGCGAAGTAAATGGTGCCCAAACGGCACTCCTAGGAGCCATTGAATAAATTATTAACGTAATAATTAAATTGAACCATATTAATAGTTGTAGGTTAGCAGTTTTAGCAATAGTTTAAGATCAGATGTAGAAATAAAATAAATATTTCGACACATATTTGTTCATGTATGTTATCAATTTTTAAATATAAACAATTAATCAATTTTTACATAAAACAATTGAATCTTGATAAACTTTTTGATAGTGCCATGAAATAATTTTAGATATTTTTCAAAATAATCGGTCATTAGGCAGTGGTAGCCAAGGGAAACCTTGCCCTAATGTGCATTCACCTTTTCCACCAATGTGTCCATCATCAGGTAATAAGTCGTACACTTGTTTAATTAAAATTTTCAGGTTACATAGGGCAGTTGGTAATTGGATTTACTCTAGCTTGGACGGGGCCTATAATTCCAAAACTTCAGGATCCGATAGAGACACCGCTATCATTTCAGCTATCAGATACACAGTTATCATTAGTTGCATCAATTGTCTATATAGGAGCGATTCCAGGTGAGGGATTTAATGTAATTTTGATGTTTTTAATTTTAATTATGATGTTTTTTTTTTAATGAAAAAGTTATCATTTACATTATTTATATAATAGTGTATATTATACACCAAACCCGCCATTGCTTAGAATATATTATGTAGGTACGTAGTATGTAAAATTATCGAATCACAACTATGTTATAAAACTGATTTTGTTTATTTATTCGGTATCTCATATCTTATCGATCTATTTAGAACAGATTTATAGAACCCAACATCATTTTGATTGATGATAAAGATAATGTTTAGCTGACTTACAAAAAGGACAAGGTTCGTCGGAATCTTAAAGTTTCATACCTAATCATATTTACCAACTTTCAAACATTTTAAAATTTGATTGAACTAAGACCTCTTAATATTTTGTTGTTCGATATTGCAGGTCCATATATAATGGGATGGTTATCAAACGTTAAAGGAAGAAAGCCGTGCATAATAATTGCAGGAGTTGTATCAACAACAGCGTACCTTATATTAGCATTTTCAAATAATCTGGCAATGATATACTGTGGCAGATTATTAACTGGTTTTGGATTGGGATGTGTGGGTGTAATGAACTTGGTGTACATAGGAGAAATTGCGTTAGTATATTTGTAATGTATATCTATTTATTATATTTAATTATGATTTGCAAATTCCAACAATCACACTTCTACCATTCAGTATGAAGCTAATATTTATAGTAATTTTACTAGAACATGACACAGTATGCGATGCAATTGGTGGTATTAAAAATATTGTTGAAAGAAAGAAATTTTTTGGATAGTTTACAAATAGAAACACTTAACGAACTACCGTTGTATATTTGTTAGTTTGAGAATATTTTATTTGTTTTATAATCAATTCAAATAAATTGTACAGACAATATTTTAAGGGCCTACATACTTCTAGACCAATCGGAATCCGTTTATTTTTAGGAGTTTTTTTTTGAAAACCTGAAGTTTTATGATTTTAAAATGTTATAATAATTTTAAATTTTTAATAATTTAAGTTATATTTCTGCAAAAATCTATCATAGTTTTTTAATAAAAAGAAATTTAGTTAATTTTTACATTTTTTAGTGATTTTTTAACAAAACTGTGACTAAACTTTGTAAATATCAACTTAATTTTTTTAAATCTATATTTTTAACTAATTAATAAATAAGATTAGACTATGAATGAATTTCATTTCTTTCTGTAATTACCTTAAAATCATTTTTTTCATCAAATCAAAAAATCAATAAATTTATCTCCAAAATCGATCAAAAACTAATAAAATATCGATAAATTCAAAAAAATTATAACTTAAATAGATTTCTATGGCAAAAAGTGTTTAAGACAAAAATAATGAGCCCTATCTGAAAATTAAACGAATTTTTTTTTAAATGTAAACGCCCACTTTTAGTTGGGGGTGATTTTCTGCCTCTCGAGACCATAAAACATACTTTTCTCGGAAATAGCTAAATATTTCAATTTAATTTTTTTTTTATTATATGTATTTCGAAAATTACATTCCCTTAGTTTCATGAAAATCAAAAGATTATTCTAGAAATTAAAAATAAAAAATCAAGAAAAAGTTAAAAACCGAGTTTTCTGCAAATATCTCGAAAACTTTGAGGTTATTGTAAAAAGTGTTATTTATAAAAGTTGTAGATTTTTTCTAGACCTACAACTTTTGTATAAAACATTTTTCGATAGAACGTCACAGTAAGCCGCAAATTTAAAAAAACTATTTTTCAACACTTTGTATCCCCCCATTTCTCAGGGGTAGCTGGCCACGTGGGGCATTTTAAGAATTTTTATTCCTTATATACCACCTAAACTTGAAATCATAAAATAGCATACTTTAACTATATCGATTAGTTTGTTATCCAAGACTATGGAAAATATTGTACTATATACGAAGATAGAAAAATAAGATAAAACAGTATAAATGCATTATATAATAAAAACCTTTAAAGCTGTTATTTTTTATTTTTTACAGATCTACAAACATCAGAGGCATACTTTTAACAATTATAGGTATATTTCAAACGGCCGGTGCAATCTTGGCGTATGCCAGTGGACTGTTCCTTTCCTACGTAGGTGTAACATCAGTAGGATTTGTTTTAGCATTCATCTTTACAATATTTGCATTGTTTCTACCAGAATCCCCTATGTTTCATGTATTAAAAGGTATGTCAAGAATGTTTCTCTTTTATGATGAAGTCATTTGTTGCTCCCTAGATTCTTAATTGCTACTATTAATAGTAGTGAAATTAATGTGTAGTAAGTATTTGTGTTTATATTTTAGGCGAAGATGCTTCGGTAAGAAAAGTGTTAGAAGACTTAGGAAGATCTAATGATATAGAAGAAATGATTGCATCAAAAAAAGAATTTGTCAATTCAACAGCTAAAAAGGATTGGAAAGAGCTATTTACAGATGCTGACAACAGAAAAGCTCTAAACGTTCTTATTCTTGGAAATATATTTTTGCAATGTAGTGGGATTATTGCTGTAGTATTTTTTTCTGGGACTATATTTAGTATGGCTGGAAGTACACTCAATTCTAATGTAGCGATGATCATAATTTGCAGTTGCGAGCTGAGTGGTAGCATGCTTGTGCCATTTATGATCGAAAAATGCGGAAGGAAGATTTTGATGAAGATTTCATGTATTTTATGCTCTTTATCTATGGTAAGATTTTGATATGACTATTATCACCTACTCATTAGTGACCTACCATCGCCTCGCTCGGGTGGGTCCCTAGGTACGTTATAAATAGATATAAGTAATTATTACCCAGCGTGAGCCGTTCTTGAGTTATAAATGGTGTAATTAACCCAACTTTGTAATATATATATATATATATTTAAAGCTGTTATTTTTATATATATATATATATATATATATATATATATATATACTAGGGGCTCACCCTCGCTTCGCGCGGGTTCGCCTCTAGAAAAACACTAAAAAAAATCTATTAGTTCCCACGGGAACCGCTCATTTTTCCCGGATGAAAAGTAACCGGTTGTTTGACCGGCAATATAAGGTATCAGAATGTTAAATTTTACTAAATTAGGTGCATAAGTTGTATAAGTTATAATAGTTTTTTAACGATCCCACGGGAACCATTATATTTTCCGGGATAAAAAATATCTAACACGTTGTCCGGGGATATAAGGTACCACCATGCAAAATTTCATTTAAATCGGTCCAATAGATTCGGAGATTAGCCCGTACAAACAGACAAACAGACACACAATATCACACGGGAACGCAGTCGAACGGGATCAAAAGTATCCTATGTCCGTCTCTGGGTTCTAAGCTACCTCCCCGCCAATTTTCAGCCAAATCGATTCAGCCGTTCTGGAGTTATAAATAGTGTAACTAACACGACTTTCTTTTATATATATAGATATTTAGACTAATCCAAGCTTATCAATTAAGTGACATATACTTTGCAGTAGATACGTTAGATAGAAATAGAATAATGAGTCCACTAACACGAGAGAGGTAAAAAGAAAAAAGGAAGTTACTTTTCATAATATATTTCGCGTTGTTTCTATTTTATTATAATATGTCTTTTATCTTATAATATAAATGCAATTTTTGTATGACTTTATTTCGTGGTCTCGGAAACGGCTCTAGTGATTGGGATAAAATTTTATATTTTTATAAGGTTTTGCTTTTTAAGTTTAACTATATAGGTGTGTTTTCTTAAAAACACAATTTGTATATCTTTTCCCAAAAAAAAAACCTTTTTCTATCGATGCTCGGTCATCCAGGTACTAAACAATAAAGTAAGGATTTACTATCATGATAATATTTTATTTTACTTTCAGTTAACTATGGGTTTCTACTTCTTTTTTGATTATAAGCAATATTCCGTGGTTAACAACATTAGATGGCTACCAATTGTTATACTTATTGTATTTTTCTTTGTCTATGATTTAGGTAAGTTTTCAGGAATTTTAAACATTTAATTTATTTAAAAGATACAAAGATCTATGACATCCTGCATTTTTTTCACAAAATTCACAAATATACAAGACTGGATAGTGCACGTTCCAAATAAGCGACATGTAAACGTCTTACAGACGTTGAATTTCTTGTCCAAGTAAAACTTTTGCCAAAATAAAAATTACATCTCTTGCCCATGATTTTCTTACATATTTTTTATTAGAATACGTTTTAAGGTTTAGTATAGATTTCTCAGAGATGAGATCTTTTCTCACAGTAAAAAGTACCCTATACGTTGAGTAAAATAATCAGCTATCATTATACCCACCAAAATCGTTTTCTCGTGATGCGTTTTCTGACAGACACACAGATAGACAGACAGACAAAAATTTTACAAACTATAGATTCGGCCTCTGTATCGATAATAATAACTATTTCAATAAGATTTACCAAAAAATATTTAATGTACAGATATTCGACTCAGAATTTTAGTATATGTATATATAAAATTTCAGTTAAAATAAGCAGTTAGAAAGTAAGTAAGATAATGTGTAATATTTGTTCAATTTTTAGGTTTAGGCATCATTCCGAGCACGCTGATTGGAGAAATGTTCAAAACAAATGTAAGAAGTAAAGGTTCCGCTGTGGCTATTACAAGTTCCTTGGTATTTGGGTTTTTGGTCACCACCGCATTTGGATCATTGATAGATATTGTTGGTGCTCATGTATTGTTTTGGTTTTTCTCATGTTCTTCGGCATTGGCATTTATATTTACACAGATATACATACCAGAGACTAAAGGGAAAAGTTTACTGGAGATACAAACGTTTAAAAAATAGAAAATAACTTAATAAATAATATGTAGTAATCATGGACGAATTAGAGACTGGACCTGACATAAAATACAAATGTATGAAAACTAGTTCAACCAAGTGACGCATTACGCACACAAAGATTTTATTACATTATTATAAACACTGATACACAATACAATATTTCTAGTGCTTGAACGTAATCGATAAAATACATATATCGATGAACTAATGAATGACATTTTAGACATTTGTAAGCATAGTCATCATATTTTACTACTTTTAATTTAAAATATCTGTATTTATATAATAAATTAAAATAAATGAATTAAAGAGGCAATAATAATGTGTCAAATAATAATTAAATAATAAATAAATAAATATGTTGGGACATTAACACAAAGCGCCATCTAGTTCCATGGTAAGCTACGAGGCTTGTGTTATGGATACTAGATAGTTGATACACTACACATATATAACTTTAAATACACACATATTATAAATATAAACACCCATGACTGGAGTACAAACATTTGTCATCACACAAATGAATGCCCCCAGCGGGACTCGAACCCGCGACCGCTGGCACAGCAAGTAGGGTCACTACAAACTGAGCCAAACATGTCATCAAACATATTTTTTTTAATTTGATTTATATAAATACGATGGCATTGATGGCTACATTCTGTTGGCCTATAATAATGTTAATGAACAAATGAATATCGGGTGTATATTCCATTAATATATAATAAATATTATTTTGTAAAGATTAAAAAAATATTAAGCTAATTTAATTAAATAAAGTGATTTTGTTGATTCTGTTATTGAACTATTTTAATTGGCAATTGATTGTCTCGGGTAGTTATAAAAATGTGATACTTTCCTAATATTGCTCAGTTCTTAATAAACATTTGTGAAATTAGGAAAAAGAAAAAGTGATTGCAAATTGTGAAAAAGTGAGTGTTGGATCGTGAAAGTAAAATAATTAGTGCAAGTGGTAAAGTGTTTTATTACAAATCGCCAACCCAGAAGTTTAGTGCTAAAACATTATTGTTTGATTTTGTGTAATTTATGTGTTGAAATAAAATGATCTTTATTATTATTACAATGGAATAATATTCCAAAGTATATAAATGTGGTATAAAATAAAATAAAAAAAAAGTACACATACTAATTATAATTTTTGCATTTATATTTTTATTTGATTCAGAAAATATTATTAATTTATTGTCATCAGATTGTATGATACTGTGATAAAATATTTTATGTTATTGTACTGTACAAATAACACAATTCGTTCAGTTAGTTCGTCAAATATCGATATATTTTTCGACATTGTCAAGCATTAGTCGATGTCAAATGGACTCACTCGACAGTTTTGTCATTTGTTCTGAATGGTATAATCCAGCCCGTTTATGATGGTTGTCAGATGTCAACAATACATAGAAATATCGACTATATTTAACATAGTTGGATAATATGACATTTTATTTTAAATTAAATTGAATTTTGTGATAAATAACAATAAATGTAATAAAATAATGTATTTACAAGTGAAAAGAAATAGTGTTGCTTCCGCCGTTATAGTTTTTACACCATTTAACAGAACATTTAGTCATTTTTGGGAGATGTTTTGTTGACAAGTAAGTGCTTGAGACTGACACAAAAAACAAACGACCTAGGCTAAAATTACCCTGGTTACTAACATGACCGGTGAAGGTACGTCCGCTTATATGTCTGGTCCAGTGGTTAATTCGTTCATGGTAGTAATATATAAAACTCAAGAGTTTCTTTTTATGTTTAAATGCGCTCTCTATTTGATTATTTAATTTATATTTAATTATATTTTGAATACGAACAATATTCCGTGGTTAACAACATTAGATGGCTACCACTTGTTACCATTACGATTTTTATTTGCCTATGACATAGGTAAGTTTTTTCGACCTCGGCACCACACCCAATACAATAAATAGGTAAGTTTACAGAATTTCTAAATAAACGACATAAAACATTTTAAAGACATTGAATTATTATTTGTATTAGTCCAACTTTAAACTAACCAAAAAATACGTCACTGTGTTAAAATCGGTTTAACTATTTAAAAATTAAATTTTAGCAAATTTAAGTCAACTTAGGTAATGTGATAATTCGTCCCCCACCATATGTGTTGATAGTGTTGTGGTAGAGGGGCTCATTAGTGTCCGGTAGGCCAGCTGGGCGCGAATCCAAGTGACACACAGCGAAGTGGCCTACTTCGGTTGGCGGCAAACTATGGGGGTTGCTCCTGGTACTTCTCTTACAGCAGAGTGGGCCGTGGGAGTAACCCCTTGGTTGTGGGGTCTGCTGTGGCGGGTGTCGTAGTTGAGTGCGTGAGCGATCCTTTGACGTCCGAAGAAGACAGTGGAGGTTCTGTTGACTTTCTAGCCGGTAAGTTCCACATAACTGCTCGTGTGTATACGGATGGTATGCGTTAATGTATTTGTCAACATAAAAAAAGGTGATGTGATAATTTGTATTTGTTAATTTTAGGTTTAGGAATAATTTGAAACACGCTAATTGGAGAAATGTTCAAAAAAATGTTCCTGGGTGTTTAGGATTTTGGTCAATATTTGCGGAAGTCTCATACAAACTTTTATCCCTTAGTTTAAGGGTTTGGGCGGTAAAAGTTCCAAGTTTTAGATTTTTTGTTGTTGTTTATGTACTAGCTTATACCAAATTTCAGTTGTCTAAGACTTCAGAAAGTACCCTAATAATTTAGATGATCATTAGTGAGAAAGTGACGAAATCGGAGATTCTTAGATATAAATAAAATCTAACATATAAAAGCTATGCAATTAAAACTTTTTAAATTTAATAAGTCTACTATTGCCATCATATCCCGAGAATTTTGTTTATCTGGTATAATCCTAAACCAAGTTATGAGGGTTCAAAAAAACGACGAAGCGTTTCAAGAAAAGGTAGGTGCCCTTGCGTTTCGCTATGCTCGTCTTGGCGGGGACATTACTGTGCCCCCAGATAATATAATGACAATGTAATCATAAAATATATCTACATATTAATATAAAAAATATGATTTCAGAATGACATAAGTGCGCGATGTACCAGCAAAGTGGACGTGTGTGATTGTTATCGAATATTTTCTGATATAAATATGTTTATAAAAATATCTGGACTTCAACGACAGATTTTAGCATCACTATGTTGTAAGTATTTTAGTCGATTAATCGATTTATTTCTTCTATTTCTAGTTGATTATAATTAGTAGTAGTTTTTTATAATTCTTTTTTAATCGTGACTTTCTACGGTACCCTTTATCTTATTTTGGGTAGATGCCGTCGGTAGTAATAAGTATATACCTAAGAAAGCTTAGAATGATTCTGTAAAGTATTTAAAACATCGGAAACCAGAAATAAAAAGAAAACAAAAAAATATGAATAGATTTCAACTGTCCATTGAAAATAGTATTGTATAATTAATATTTGCACTTTTAAAAAATTATGCATTATTCTTCACATAGTTAAGAAGTTGACGTACATAATATTGTCTATTACTAATTTCGCAAAGATGTCTAATTTCCAATTTTTCATCTTATGATCTTACTAATACCTATTATAAATGTAAAAGTTTACATGTTTGGATGTTTGTTACTCAATCACACTAAAACGGCTAAACGGATTTGGATGAAATTTGGCACAGAGATAGATTATATTGTCTGGAATCTAAACTTTCGCATTTATAATATTAATAGGATAAGCTAAGCTAAGCTAATAATATATATATATATATATATATATATATATATATATATATATATATATATATCTTGTATTATCTTAACGTGGTTTTGTTAGTTAATTCCAAGTTATTATAGATCAAATAATATAATCAGATAATAACAGTAGTGAGTTAGTACATTTTCAGGGTTCCGTACGTAGCTATATTTTTGGTTCCCTACGTTTCGATTGCTTTACCAGCAATCATTATAATTTTATTATGGCCGTATGTCTGTACGTGACAGTTATTTTACTCGGAGAGTATTGAAGTCATATTGCTGAGATTTGGTAGGCCAGTGTTTTATGTGAATCACTAGGAAATGATATAGTCAAATAGCGAAAACACAAAAATACAAAGAGTGAGGTTCGCAATTCATATGTGTAACTGAGTATAAGAATATTATTTATCCTGCTCAATAGAAAAAGTTATTAAAAATGGTTTTAAATTTTCATGCATCATTGACTGAACAGATATTGAGTATTTTTTGTTTAGCAAACGGGAGTATATTATGGGTGTGAAAACCATATAATTCTATGCGACATTGGCGAAGTAAATGGTATCCATACGGCACTCCTAGGAGCCATTGAACATAAAAATTAAATATAACTATATTAAGTAATAGTTTTAGGTTAGCAGTTTTAATACTAGTTTAAGATCAGATGTAGAAATAAAATAAACATTTCGACACGTATTTATCTATGTATCGTATGTTATCAATTTCTAAATATAAACAATTAATCAATTTTTAAATAAAACAATTGAATCTTCTTAGATTTCTTGATAGTGCCATGAAATAAATTTTGATATTTCTCAAAATTATCGGTCATTAGGCAGTAGTAGCCAACTAAACCCTTGCCCTAATGTGCATTTACCTTTTCCACCAACAAACGCTTTGGAAGGCGGCCGACCTCGGTGGGAAGTATGCCACGCGGGTTGCTCTAAGTACTTCTCTGATAGCAAAGTGGGCTGTGGGAGCAACCCCATGGTTGTGTGGTGTGATTCGGCAGGCTTACTGTCTGACCTTGTGATTGAGTGCATAAGCGATCCTGCGACACCCTATTAGGACGGGGGAGGTTCTGTTGCGTTTTAGTGGGTAGTACTGGCTTATCTAGCAGATGAGTCCTACATAATCACCTGTATATATGCAGGTGGTATGCGTAAATGTATTTTCCAACATTGAAAAAAAACTGGTAACCCAGTGGTAACGAGCTTACTTGTGGAAGCCCAGTGGTAACGTCACTCAAAACGAGTGACTCGCACCTCTGATATTTTCGTGTGAATAATTACTTATTAAGTACTCCGAGTTACGTTACGGTAGTAATAAAACGTTATTACTTATCACATTGTCGCGTCAATAAATTTTTTTCGTATCTTACCTTTACTCAATGTTTTATAGTGTTGAAGTCAGATAATCCATAAAAAGACAATAGATATTATTATTTATATGGGCTTTGAGTTTTAATCGCACTTATGGTAGATAGTAGATATACAGAGACAGTGAAGTCAACTGGCTCGACCGAGCTTGAATTATGATAATATAATACAGCATTATGGGTTTCTTGGTTCAAAATAAAAAAAAAACCTTACGAGAATGCATGGTAAGACTTATCATCTACTATAATAAAATAAAATCTGTTATTCAGCTTAAATTTACCATATGGCAATATGGACAGTAAGGAAGTCCTGGTGAAAATTGGCTTGAGCGAAATATAGAAAAGCTAGTTAGTTTTATTTAAAACGTCAAATATTCGGGTATATCTCAGAAAGTATAACATCGTATAATATTCAAAGTTTTTTGAAAATATTATTAAAAAAGCAATCGTGTTTCAATGCCGCAGCTGTTACAGTATAGAAATTGGGTTAGACGTTGGACAGACTTAATAGCGTCACGGAACAAGCATCAAAGACGGTTGATTCAATCTTGAACAAAGTGATTGATCAAAGATATATCAATAGCACGTCGAGTTAATACATTCGAATATAAATAAATAGAATTAAAGTTGATGTGTTATTTAAATATTATAGTACCTATCTAGGTTACTCGCATAATAAAGTAGGTGACTCAGGAAATTCTATAAAATAAATATTCCTTAAACTCTTTTTTAAATTATATTACATAATATTGATCCTTTAGTTCTTATATATTCGCTCTCTTATATCATTTTTATGTATTTACCAAAAATACATATAATGGAAATTGATCACTCGGGTATGTCCCTAGGTACGTTTAAATTTTCTTGAGTACCCTAATTCTTTTAAAAAAATAAAAGTAGCTTGATTTACTTTTTGTAACATCAGCCAATTGCCAGTATCCCGTCAAAATTAGTTAAGCTGTTTCGGAGATAAGTTAGAACAAACAAATAGACAGACAGACAGACAATTTTTTTTTAATTGTGTTTTCCTTTTATGTATCGTATATATTTTTATGCGCATTTAGTAAAAAGTTGTTATTTGGCCATTACAAACAGTTACTTCAATTTCATTTATCTGTATAGATAAAGTATGATCATTATCAAAATGATCTCTTTTCTTTCTCACTTTCTATTTAGAATCTATAAAATCCTGATAATTAATAGTAATGGAAGATCTGTACCGAAAAATGATAGAAGTTGGTGTGAAAATTTTGTTAGAATTAAGAATTTATTGCATGTATTTATAAAAGTGAGTAGAAGACGAGTATTAAGCGGTGTGCATCAGATAATAAGTCTAATATATTCGTGCACTTGTTTAATTCAAATTTTCAGGTTACATAGCCCAGTTGGTAATTGGATTTACTCTAGCTTGGACGGGGCCTATAATTCCAAAACTTCAGGACCCGATAGAGACGCCGTTATCAGTTCAGCTTTCAGATACACAGCTATCATTGGTCGCATCAATTTTCTATGTAGGAGCGTTGCCAGGTGATTTAATGTGATTTTGATATCTCTTTAATTTTAATTATAATTATGATCTTTTTATATGAAAAACTTATGATTTACATATTTTTTTGTAATATGTTTATTACGTACGTACGTAGGTACGTAGTATGTAAAATTACCGAAGCACAACTATGTTATAAAACTGATTTTGTTTATTTCCTCGGCGTCAAAGGTCTTCTTGATCTCTTTAGAACAAGATTAATAGAACGCAACATCATTTTGAATATTGATAAAGATAATTTTGATTTTGTCTATGTATGTAATACGTCTTCGATCAACAATACTTCTAGATATCGGGCCGTCGTAAGCAATCCGTTTTGGTAAATATAAGCTCACTTGCAAAGTGAGTATATATTTCGATTAGTTCTGTGGAAACACTGCAAGCGTAAACATACATGTAAATTAAGTCAATATTTTAAGATTTAACCTATGAAATAATATAAAAAAAGTTTAACAAATTTAATTCCGCTTAGAACGTTTGGCGAAATTCAAAGAAGCAATCAGAAACAAAACATAACAATTTAGCTAACAAAGCTACAACGGGAAAGAGTGCTTTATGTTTTTAAACATAAGCTTGATTTTACAATAAATATTATAAAACTTACGAAATGATCTAAAGTGTATGAGGATAATTTGAAGATTTATGACTTTATAACAAACTGCTATTGTGTTGATTAGGTTAAAATAAAACTATTATAAAACTTTTTCTTGGTAAACCAATGTAGCTGTATAAGTACATATTCGTGCGGACAGAATTTAGCTTTGATTTTTATGTGACACGTTATCTAGTAGTATTGTTGATCGAAGTAATTAGTACTAATAAAAATATTCGACGCAGCAAGTCAATTGTTGTTCTGATTTTCTTTTTTGGAATTGTACGACATTAACCAACACTTAACTTCATATTTTGCATCTATAACTTGAACTATGTAAAGAATACAGTTTTTAGTACTATATTAGTAATTTCTGATTAGATTTGTAGAAGTTCCAAACATTTTAAAATTTGATTGAACTAAGTAAGACCTCTTAATATTTTTTTGTTCGATATTGCAGGTCCATATATAATGGGATGGTTATCAAACGTTAAAGGAAGAAAGCCGTGCATAATAATTGCAGGAGTTGTATCAACAACAGCGTACCTTATATTAGCATTTTCAAATAATCTTGCAATGATATACTGTGGCAGATTATTAATTGGTCTTGGGTTGGGATGTGTGGGTGTAATGAACTTTGTGTACATAGGAGAAATTGCGTTAGCATTTTTGTAATGTATATCCATTTATTATATTTAAGTATGATTTGCAAATTCCAACAATCACACTTCTACCATTCAGTATAGAGCTAGTATTAGTAGTAATTTTACTAGAACATGACGTAGTATGCAATGTGATTGGTGGTATTAAAAACATTGTTCATAGGAGAAATTTTTTTTTTGATAAATAGCACTAAACGTAGGGTTATCCTACGTTTTTATATTTGTTGGTTTTAAGAATATTTGTTTTTTTTTAATCAATTCAAATAAATTGTACAGTCAATATTGTCATACACAATTCGCACTTTGCAAGCATATTTTTTACTTTAATATAACTAATGGTCTTAAAATACTTATAATAAATACTGAAAATGGAGAGTACCCAGTAAGACGCAAGTATACTTTAACTATATCGATTCGTTTGTCTTATTTAAAATTATGGCAAATATTGTATAATGTAAGGAGATAGAAAAATAAGGTAAAACAGTATACATATATGCATTATATAAAAACATTTAAAACTGTTATTTTTTACAGATCAACAAACATCAGAGGCATACTTTTAACAATTATAGGTATATTTCAAACGGCCGGTGCAATCTTGGCGTATGCCAGTGGACTGTTCCTTTCCTACGTAGGTGTAACATCAGTAGGATTTTTTTTAGCATTCATCTTTACAATATTTGCATTGTTTCTACCAGAATCCCCTATGTTTTATGTATTAAAAGGTATGTCAAGAAAGTTTCTCTTTTGTGATGAAGTCATTTGTTGCTCCATAGATTCATAATTGCTACTATTATTAGTAGTGATATTAATGTATAGTAAGTATATGTATTTATATTTTAGGCGAAGATGCTTCGGTAAGAAAAGTGTTAGAAGATTTAGGAAGACCTAATGATATAGATGAAATGATTACATCTAAAAAAGAATTTATTAATTCAACAGCTAAAAAGGATTGGAAAGAGCTATTTACAGATGCTGACAACAGAAAATCTCTAACCATTCTTATTGTTGGAAATATATTTTTGCAATGTAGTGGGATTATTGCTATAGTTTTTTTTTCTGGGACTATATTTAGTATGGCTGGAAGTACACTTAATTCTAATGTAGCAATGATCATAATTTGCAGTTGCGAGCTGAGTGGTAGCATGCTTGTGCCATTTATGATCGAAAAATGCGGTAGAAAGTTTTTGATGAAGATTTCATGTATTTTATGCTCTTTGTCTATGGTAAGATTTTAATATTACTATTATTATCAGTTACTTATTAGTGACCTACCCTCACCTCGCTCGGGTGGATCTCTAGGTACGTTATAAATAGATAAAAGTAATTATTAGCCAGCGTGAGCGAGCCATGCACAATTTTTTCATGATATACATCCGATGCTTTAATGGGAATTCTGCTGTTCGGGGCAGAGAGGGATCCAACCAATCAAAAATCATAAAAATTGGTTCAACCTTTCTGGAGTTATAAATGGTGTAACTAACCCGACTTTGTTTTATATATACATTTTTCACTAATCCAAGCTTATCAATTAAGTGACATATACTTTGTAGTTCTCGTAGATACTGTCGCGTTATAGAGAGTGTGTTACGTCATTACACCAAAATTAATAATTAAAAGGACACGTGTGAAGCATGCTTTATGCATCCTAAGACAGTTGTCAAACATTTCGAGAGAGGTATAGAAATTGTTTGAATTTAGACTAGAACAGTTAAATAAAAATTACCGTGTGCAAGAGTGAGATAGGAACGAAACATTCGAAATGACTTGAAAGGTTTTGAATTTTTTAATACTTGAATGTTCTTTGTTAATGCATATAAAAATGCCGGCAGTGTGTTGAGAGATCAGTTGAATTTCGAAGTTAAGTGAAAATTGCGAAGATGTACAAGAAAAAGTGAAAAGTAAAGAAAAATTAAGAGAAGCTATAGTGGAAGTGTTCTAGTGGTGAAAATTAGTGTCCAATGACTGATTTTAACCAAAACTGCTTTATATACTGCGCGTGTTAGTAAATCTCCAAAAGTCACTCTTGTTAATCAGGAGTAATAAAACATCGATAGTGCAAATGACGTGCTTTAATTTCCGATCCTCGAACTCATAGAACATAACAATACTTACGTTAGATAGAAATAGAACAATGAGTCCACAAGTGCACAAACAGATAGACAAGTAGAAAGAGAAATGGAAGTTGCATTTCATAATACATTTCGCTTTGTTTCTATTTTATTATAATATGTATTTTATCTTATATTATTAATGCCATTCTTGTATAAATTTATTTCGTGTATCTCGGAAACGCCTCTAACGATTAGGATCAAATTTTGTATTTAAAATAAGGTTTTACTTTTTAAGTTTGACTATATTGGTGTCGTTTCTTAAAAACACAATTTTAATATCTTTTCCGAAAAAAACTTTTTGATCGATGCTCGGTCATCCAGGTACAAAACAATAAAGTAAGGAATTACTATCATAGTAATATTTTATTTTACTTTCAGTTAACTATGGGTTTCTACTTCTTTTTTGATTATAAGCAATATTCCGTGGTTAACAACATTAGATGGCTACCAATTGTTATACTTATTGTATTTTTCTTTGTCTATGATTTAGGTAAGTTTTCAGGAATTTTAAACGTTTATTTATTTAGAAGATACAAAGACCCTTGACATCCTGCATTTTTCTACAAAATTCACAAATATACAAGACTGGATAGTGCACGTTTCAAATAAGCGACATGTAAACGTCTTAAGCACGTTGAATTTCTTGTCCAAGTAAAACTTTGGCCAAAATAAAAATGACATTTCTTGGCCATGATTTTGTTAAATATTTTTATTAGAATACGTTTTAAGGTTAAGTATAGATTTCTCAGAGATGAGATATTTTCAGTTTTTATAGACATACAAACAAAAATTCTAAAAACTATAGATTTGGCCTCTGTATCGATAATAATAACAATTTCAATAAGATTTACCAAAAAATATTTAATGTACAAATATTCGAATCAGAATTTTAGTATATGTATAGATGAAATTTCCGTTAAAATAAGATGTCTGATAATGTGTAATATTTGTTTAATTTTTAGGTTTAGGCATCATTCCGAGCGCGTTGATTGGAGAAATGTTCAAAACAAATGTAAGGAGTAAAGGTTCCGCTGTGGCTATTACAAGTTCCTGGGTGTTTGGGTTTTTGGTCACCACCGCGTTTGGATCATTGATAGATATTATTGGTGCTCATGTACTGTTTTGGTTTTTCTCATGTTCTTCGGCATTGGCAGTTATATTTACACATATATACATTCCAGAGACTAAAGGGAAAAGTTTACTGGAGATACAAACGTTTAAAACATAGAAAATAAATTAATAAATATGTAATAATATATAAAACTGAAGGGTTTCTTTTTATATTTAAATGCGCTCTCAATTTGATAATTTAATTTACATTTAATTATAATATTTTAAATATAAACAATATTCCGTGGTTAATAACATTAGATGGCTACCACTTGTTATAGTTATTGTATTTTTCTTTGCCTTAACATAGTTAAGTTTTCAGAATTTCTAAATAAACAGCATAAAACCAGGGCCGTCTTAAGCCATGCAGGGACCCTTGGGCACACATCAATTTTGGGGCCCTTTAGAAAGTTAGTAAATGTAAATGATGAAATAAAAATTAACTTTATTGAATTAGATTTATACAAGCACTATTGAATTGTCAATTTAATTTAACAATAGTCAGTGAGTCAACCCTTGAGGAAGCTACCTTGGCTCGGAAGGCAGTTCTGCTAAGTAGAGCATCGCCAGGATAAATTCAACAAGTGCTCTTTTTACAAATCAAATTACAGTATTTAATACATTAGCAATTGACTTAATTTTTCTTAATTCTACACAATTGTTGTTGCAAATTAAATATTCTCAATTATTGCTACCAAAAAAATCAAAAATATGAATATGAAATCATCATCATCACCATCACCATTTCATCATCCACTTTCGATGACAGCGGGTTATACAGAAAAGTAGCCTTGTTAAAGACCTTATAATAACTACATTGGAATCATCTCGTAATGTAGATGACTATGTAAATAAAATTATGTCCACTGCCGATAAATTGAAGATATTAAGTTTTGAAATTGATGATGAATGGCTTTGAACGCTGATGCTGGCTTGTTTACCTAAAACTTATAAGCCAATAATAATTAATGGGACTAGAGAGCTCAGGTACCAAGTTCAGTGCAGATTCCATCAAAACAAAGTTCTTGCAGGAAGTTCAATGCTTGGAGAACACAGTGTTCTTCACAAAAAAAGGCCGTTCATGGGAATCAATATAAAGCAAAGGCAATTTAAAGGGCCCCGATGCTATAATTGTAACAAGCATGGACATTTTGCAAAGGAATGTTGTTTCCAAAAAAAGAAGATTTTGGATGATTCTGAATTCGAAAAAATTAAAAGTGTTTGTTGCAGCTTTTATAGTTTTTTCACCGACTATAAATCCAGATCTATGGTATGTAGACTCAGATGCTACTATGCACATGTCCAGTAAAAGGGATTGGATGTGCGATGTAACAAGTTCGTCTGTGTCTACCGTAACTGTTGTCAGTGAGACACCGCTACCTGTATGGGAAATGTAAATTTATTGATAAATGCAGAGGCTGAGTGCATGGCTATGGCAGCGGCAACCCAGGAGGCCCTGTGGCTTCAGCAACTACAAACTGAACTCGGCCAAGAAAGCATGGATAGTGTGTTCCATATCTACTGTGACAATCAAAGTGCCATAAAACTAACATTAACAGACTGATACAAGCCAAAGACTAAACATATAGATATACGATTACATTTTCTTAATACTTAACACTCCCTACAGAATGCAAACCCAAATTCAAAAATGGTTTTCCGGGATGAAAACTATCCTATGTCATTCCCATGGTTTCAAAATATTTCTATACCACATCTTTATCGTTTCAGCGGATTAAGCGTGAAAAAGTGACGGACAGACAGACAGACCGAGTTACTTTGGCATTTAATATTAGTATGGATATATAAAGCTGACTTTTTAGTGGTGCCGATTTATCATCATCGGCTTGGGCTGAATGTTTGTAAGTCAGTCCGTGAGTCGCGACATTGCCTTTAATATAATAATATATAATAAAAATAGTTATAGCGAGTGTATCTTAGGAGATAGATGTATACTATTAAAAAAAATTCTGTAGACCTTTTTAAGACCTACAATTTCGTAGAATATTGTATTGAATGATTGATATTTGATGTATCTCTTAAGGTGTAACCAGCGTTAGCTATATAAATTTAAAGATTTTCCTGAAGTAAAAGATGTCCTAAATGTTGATCCGAGTGATAAGTTATCACTTCACCCAATTTTTTTGAAATCATTTTATTACTTTTTGCGTGAAACGCGCACACACAAACAGACATACAGACAGACAGAATTTTTTTATAACTATTGTTTTGGGGTCTATATTGTGTACATAATAATCATAACTTGATTTTAAAAAATATTCCATGTACAGATTTTGCTAAGTTTCTGCTTATATAGTATAGATTAATTTATTAATTAAAATAAAAAGTATGATTTTGCGTTTAGTGTTATCTTTTATTACCAGAAGATATTTACGTTTTTATGATTATTGTAACGAAGATAAAGGCTATAAACCAAATATGAAAGATTAATTTTTTTCCTTTATTTACTGTGACGGTTAAAAGATGATAAGCAATGTTTATAGATAAGATTTGCAGGCTTTATTCTCTTACTTAGTCTATCCACTAACAAATCTTGTTAGTTATGTATTTTATCTGCCTAATTATAAGCTAAACAAAGCATTCAAAGGCTTAAACTCCGCTACTTCTAGATATAGCAAGTAAATTAGTTAGCAAAAAAATTATTTAAATAATGTGGGCCTTGGTCTGGACACTAGGCAGTTTTAAGTGTAAGCATTTAGTTGATAGTTCGTTAGAATAGAAAAGGTTAATTATTATCAACCGACTTCAAAAAGGAGGAGGTTCTCAATTCGACTGTATGTTTTTTTTTTTTTTTTTTTTTTATGTTTGTTACCTCAGAACTCCGTCATTTATTAACCGATTTGGACAATTTTTGTTTTGTTTGAAAGGGTATACTTCCAGATTGGTCCCATTTAAATTTCAAAAAAAAATACCACCCCTAAGGGTGGAAAAACAACTAATAATGAATTTAACCTACTTCTAATTGTCATATTGACTTGAAACTTTGCAAGTATTTCTATTTTCGTTGATAGTACAGTGGTTCGGTGTTGTTGACCTGATCTGATGGCAAGGCCAGAAGGTGGATAGGTGGAACTCTTCAACGGCTAATAGTAGATACTTTGAGTTTGGGCTTATTTTGTTTGATTTGACAAGCCTAACACGTTAGAATCCTTACTTTGCTACTACTGTCTACACTAAAAAGGGAAAAATAAAAACTTTTTAACAAAAAAATAAAAACCGACTTCAAACAAAAGCACTAAAAAGTGAAAAATAACTGATTGGTAGTTTTCATTTACTATACATACCTAATCAAATATTTTCGAAGTCGGTGTGCTTTGGCTAAGTACTTAATTAAAGCCTACCTATTAAATACATACCTAATCAAATATTTCCGAAATCGGTGCCAGCCCATACAAAGCAAAGCACACCGACTTCGAAAATATTTGATTAGGTATGTATAGTAAATGAAAACTACCAATCAGTTATTTTTCACTTTTTAGTGCTTTTGTTTGAAGTCGGTTTTTATTTTTTTGTTAAAAAGTTTTTATTTTACCTTCAGGTAATTGGATTGGTAAGAAATAAGTATCGCGTGTTTTTGAGTTTTAAAGTGCTAATATACTGACGTATTGGTAAATGGTTAATGGTTATTCTGGTGCGTAGAAGCAACCAAGAATGGGAAGATGCGAATACTCTGCCAGTTTAAATAAGTTCTCTTGAAAATGCCTTATTACTCTAATACTTTCTTAGATTACCCTAATACTTTCTTAGACAATTATATAATGAATGACCTTTGATACGCCTAAAACCTTAGTCCCTTCCGTGACCATGATTGCTGTAAAGCATTCGAAACCAAAAATAAAAAGAAACAACAAAATAAAAAATAAAAATAATAAATATAAAATAAAATAAAAAATAAAATAAAAATAAAATTACCTGCTTATTACATCTACACTAAAAATGAAAAAATAAAAACTTTTAAAAGAAAATAAAAACTGACTTCCGACCGACCGAAAATATCAGATTAGGTATTCTAAATGAAAACCCCGTATAGTTATTTTTTACATTGTAGTGCTTGGAAATTAGTTTTTATTTTTTTTAAGTTTTTATGACTGTTTATATTTTTTTTATGTAACTGACTTTTTTTTGAATATAGAGATGCATGCCAATTGATTTTGAGAAATTAAAATTTAACCGTTTTAAAACTATGAATGTTTGATGTATTTATTGCAACGGAAAAATCAAACTAAAAGGAAAAAAAAACTAAAGTTAATGTCTTAATTATTTTAAATATATATTAAAACTTGTTTCATTACTAATTCCTAATTGAAAATAGCTTGTGTCGCATCACTGGTTGCATAATCTCATAAACTCGTACGCAGATTTCATTTGTCCTCGGTATTTTTTTTTTTTTAACGTTGGGAAATGCATTTACGCACGAGGTGTGGGACTCACCGGCAAAGCCAGTACTACCCACTAAAACCCAACAAAACCTTCCCCCGTCTTAATGGGGCGTCGCAGGATCGCTTACGCATTCAACTACGACGCCCCGACGGCAGGTCTGCCGAAGCAGACCACAACAAACACGGGGTTGCTCCACAGTCCACTCTGCTATCAGAGAAGTACCAGGAGCAACCCGCATGGTACACTGCCCTCTGAAGAGGGCCACCTCCCACCGCCCACCGAAGTGGGCCACCTCCCTGTGCGTTTCTTGGCTTCGCGCCCGGTTGGGTTGCCGGGCACTACTGAGCCCCCCCACCACGACAAGGTGAACGCACGTTGGGGGGGGTCCTCGGTATATCTAGGACATCTTGGTATTTCTAAATAAATAATACAATCTGAACGTAATGGAAGAGAAAATGATTGTTTATCCATATTTTATGTTTTAAATATGAAAATAAGGCAATTATTGAAGATACTAGCAACCAAGTAGCGTAACTAGGCTTTTCGGGCCCCAATGCAAAAAATATAGAAGGGGGCCCTTTGCCCATTACGAAAACAAGTGTGGACTTCCTAGCGTTGAACGAGAAGTTGTTTGTGGCCCGCTGGGCCCCCTTGAACAGGGGCCCTATGCGACCGCATTGGGTGCATTGGCATAGCTACGCCATTGCTAGCAAC